GGTGGCGACTGGGCTTAACAATTTTTTTTGACCCGCAGAACACTCAAGCCATTGATAAACAAATATAACTGCTTTTTTTTAATATCTAATATCTAATAAACTTAACCATGGTTGAAATTATTTTTTTTTTTTTTTTAACCAATCATTCAATAATGGTAAATTGTTTGTAAATTTTTTTTAATATGGCTAAAATAACAAATTGAATTGAATTTCACTCAACTATTTTTTTAGGTTGATATTCAGTCTTTGTGCCCTGACTTTTCCTTTTCTTGTTTTTTTTTCTTTGCTTTGTAGACCTGTTCCCTTATTGTGAACCATATTTTTTTTTTAAGGCCCTTGGTGACGGACATTGGAAGCAAGTTCACCAATATCTTTTTTTTAAACAAAAATTAATAACACAGACCAATTTATTGTCCCCTATGTTTTTTTAATCAGCCAGTTAACCGCACATTATTGCCCTCAGTTAATGAGTTTTTTTTGACAATACATAATTGTCAAATAGCTTTGTTGCAATTTCAACATGGCAGCCATGCAGCCTGGGTAGATTCAAGCTGTTTGAATGTTTTCTCGATTTTTTTTATTTCCAAGTGGAATACTTGATAAAGTTTAGGAAATATTTCCGTTTTTTTAACATGTCTATCTTAAGAATGGAATTCCTTGGATCTGCCTTACCCATAAAGAGTGACTCCAATATCCTGTAGTCCTTGACTCCTTTCCAATTGTTTTTTTGGCTTGATTGACATAACAGTCGGACGACGGCACCTTGATACTTTTTTTTTTATTACCAGTCATGTTTGTAGACACAAACCCTGGAGTAACGCTTTTTTTTAATATAAAATCAATATYTTAGTTATAAAGGSCTGTGGCTGACCTTTTTTTAATGCAATCATGTTTTAAATTATTTATCAGATATGGAAAATGATTTTTTTTCAAATATCCATTTCAAATTTGTTTTGGTTTGAACGTCGATTCTTTTTTTAATATTTCCATTTATATAGCATAAAGGGATAATAAATA